GGCATCAAGTGGTCTTGGCAAAGGACCTGAAATCACAGTTGGTGGGAGGGGTAGAGAACCAATTAATGCATCTGCATCTGCAGTCAATGTTGGAAGAACTGGAGTGAATGCTAATGTCAGAGCGCATATTGTGCCAATAACTTCTGTGCTAGAGACAATCAAAGCAAGGAGATAGGACAAAGAACTGGCAACTGGGTCAAAGTAGACTGTAGGATTACCTGTTATTATTTATGTTTTTGTAATGAAACAATACCGTGGGATGTGTTGTGTTTGTATTTAAGCTAAAGAAAGATAGACACACATTTAGAGTTACGATTTTTGTATTTAGAGTTATGGTTTTTGTTCCATTACTTCTGAAAATGGATTGGTATTTAGGCCTATTGTCTTGCAAATCAACTCAGTAGGGTTACCATTGCTTCAAGTATAAAGTCAGTTTGTTTGTGTTGGAAATGTTGGTTGTATATTTTGCATTGGAATGCAGTAAAAAAAAATTAAGAATTTGTTGATTTTTTTTTCCAATTAAACTCAGCAGGGTTTGTGTTGGTATAATTTTCAATGCATTTCCATGTTGCAGTAAAAAACATACAAAACTCACAAATTTCATAAACATAATTTCATTGCTTTCAAACATACATCAAGTACATAAAGCACCTTACAAATTCTTACAAATTCATTTCATACTGAACATTAACATGGTGAAAATGAAACACACAAGCAAAACCACCATAGATGTCTTCATAATCATGGTTAGTGCCTCCATCTTCATCTCCAGCTTCATCAGTCTTGCATTAAACTGCACACCTTCCTCAACTCTTGGCTTCTCATCATCAATCTCATCTCTTCCATAAATGGTAGCATATCCAACTGGGTTGCACCAAGACCAGAAATCACAACTACCCAAACCCGCATTTTCACAAACATAGTACAACCTACCTTTTGAAGGCTTCTCGGACTCCACGATTCTAATGGCTATTTTTCTTCCACAACGACATTTCTTGCTTATGAACCTCAACATTTGTCCTTCTCCACCTCCAATGCTTGAAGATGACATTTTTGCTGGGTAGTCTAGCCTGCAACTCAACATACAAAGCATATTCTTGGGTAAGGTTTTATGTTTAACCCTAGGGGCATTTTGGTCTTTTCATTGTGAGGGAACATCATCAGTTCATGCCCACTTGCACCACGCTCGCGTGCACTGCACAGCCGGTTAGAATACACAGAAAAGCTAACGGTGCACATTAGTCCATCAACCACAGGGGGGTTATATGGTGATATTCGAAAGTCAGGGGATAATCCGCACATGGCCTAAACCATAGGGAGGTAAAGTGAAGTTTGTCCAAAAAGTTGAAACAGAGAAGTGAGAAAAAGATAAGAAAGAAACAAATCACCAGAACTACGAAAAAACTTCAAGACAAGTATTAAAATTTTATCCAATAATAAGCACAAAAATTTTATATATGATGCAACGACAACAATGCATTCAGGAAAGTCAAAACTCTCACCAAACCACTTCAAGAAATGAAAGCAGGTAAAAATTCGAATGAAACATAAATAGCATGAAAGAAAAGGACCAAACTATCTTCATTGCATTGCAGGCGTTCCAAACTCAACAAAGTCTGAAATGCGAATATGCCTCTCTTGCCCAATGTAAACAAAACAAATCAAATGCATCTAATAAATAAAAGAAAATGAAATCATATGCCACAGTTATCACCACCAATAGAAATTTGTGGTATCACATATCTGGCCAATCTAAAAGCTTTTGTAGATACTGTCCTACACCAGAGTCAGCAGCACCAGCACCAGTACCAGTACCAGAAATTTGTGTTTCACAAAGCTACGTCATAGAGTACACTAACCAGAACAGGTTTCATCCAAACAATTATACTACCATCTCTACAAATATTCTTCCCATGCTAACCACCAACACCATATCTAGAAAGGAATACTTAAAAATAAAATAAAAAAGCAGACTAACTAGATAGGTTTGCTTCAAAAAATTTCACCTTCCTTATTTCCAGTCCTGCGACATGAGAGGACATGGAGCTTCTAGAAGCAAAACAAAACTATCGACAACCAAATTACAACCACCTAATATTCTAGGACAAAAGTGAGTATTACATGCAACTTACCTATTTTATCCTGTTTTATAACAAAGTTACCAACTATTTTATAAAATTAATGAGCAACGTGAAAACTAATCAACATTTCTAAAACTATAGCAACTGCACAGCAAACCCTTAACTAAGTAGTTTTTGTTCAGCTACATCAATCTATTCTGTGTCATTTTCATAACTAGGGTCCATTTCAATCATATCTCAAGAGATTACATCACATAAACTTGTTATATTCAGTAACCCAAGAACACTGAAAACATAAATTTCATGAAAAAGGTGAAAAATATAAAGTGTTAAGCCTTAAGGTACAAAGAAGTAACAATATGCAAATGAAATCTTAATACTTTTGTCTTACAATGCAAAAGGAAAACCAAAATGAAAATGTCCATCTACTGGTTCCCTAACCCATAAACAGAAAGAAAACATACAAATTTATGGTTTAAGTAACGCACCAGATCACTACGTAGGCAAAAAATTGTAAACCTCCAAAGCTCATTCAGATTCTTCTCATAGAGACGAAAATTTCACGGGATGTAAATGGGAGAAAGAACAATAGCTTGAGACATAAATTCTTCCCCCAATCTAACTAGAAGAAGATTTCTCAACAATATATTACAGCGTAAAACAAACTACACATAACATCAGCCAACCATTTTTTTGGGGATAAATAAAATACAATATTATCAATCGAAAAGCATCAAGATGATGCTAACAAATGCAGAGGAAAAGAATCAACACAAAAAATCCACCCTAAACATGAAGAGTATCTATAAAGTCCACAAACGAAAACAAATCCCTAGACACTTTCCGAAACCCAACTATACAAAATCATCAAAAGCCTATTCTTCATATGAGCCACAGGTTCATCCACCCCCCCAAAAAATCGATCGATTTCGATTATGCTCCAGCCAATAACATCAGCCAAATTAATATCAAAAGGAAAAAAATATTTTCAATTAATGCCCATTGATTTATCATGCCAGATGTGACTTCACTATATTTATGTGACACTCACACAGATTGAATATTTTTCCTTTTTTGCCAGCAGAAAATAACCTTCAAAATTTTGTTCCCAAAAAAGTTGTCGGACTATAACAGTAGCTAGGTTCTCCATAACATTGAGGGTAAATTACACTCACCTCACTTGAAGTTTGAGAAAAATACAATTAGCCCCTTAAGGGAGGTCAATGTAATTGTATCAAAAGTATGGGACTAATTGTATTTTATCTAAACCTCAGGGGAGGTGAGTTTAATTCACCTTAACATTTAACATAGTTTCTCCAGTGGTACAAAGTTGGTTGCATGTCTTCTTCCTTAATACACTAAGGGCATTTGGAGAAGTTGTCTCCACATCTGGATTTTACAAACTTGAAATTCACAAGTCATACCCAAGCAAGCATTATAAAAGTTTAAACCATTTATGAGCACATGAATTTACACTCTACAAATCAATGCAATCTGGCGCTTTTACATTAATTTCCTTGTATTTTATAAACCACAACACAAATACCCAACTAAATTCTCAAAAAACACATGAAGCAAAATTACAGCAGACAATCCTAGAACCATCTCCCCTTCCAGAATAAATGATCTCACAATCAAGCAACATTGCACCTACAAGCATGTTGATGATAAAATCATGGTTGTCACCACTTAGAACAAATATATTCCAATTTTATCCATGTTTGTCACTTATTGTAGAATTCACACTAAAATTATAATTCACCTGTTGCCAATTGTCTTTCTTGGAACTATACTACACTGACAGTGAGTCCCCGCCAAATGGAGTTCGGATCCTCTCCTTGAGGAAGGTCCTTGAGTTGCTGCGGGCAACGGCTCAGATGAGCCGTTGGTCATCCAACGGCTCATATTATAAAAAAAAAAAAAAAATCAAATTACAGTGTGTTTTATATTCCCGCCCAAACAAACTTCCCGCCCAAACAAAAACAACAATACACCTGAGACATATTCACTCTCACTCTCTTACTCTCTCACTTTCACTCAGCCTTACAGTCGATCGTGGTCGTCCACCGAACCTACCCTCACCGGCGAACCGGCGACCAGTCCCAAAGTAAGGTAAGAAATCGAATGGAGTTTTCATTAATTGGTGTGTTTTACCTCTTTATGATTTCTTTAACTTTTCTCTAAGGTTCTGTTAGGATCCGAACTCACATATAGAGCCCCCCACTTGTTTACACAGAGTCCACACCCTCAAGTGCCAATGTTGGCTTGTCTTATTACATCTTGTTTCTTCTTGTTGCTTGATGTTATTCTCTTGTTTATCTCATTTTTCTCTTAAGCAATCATTAGGTGCAATAAAAAAATTCTAGAGTAAAATCTTGATCTAAAGATTGATAATGTTACATCATATTAGTTAGACTCAACCATAGTTACTTGAAACTCTCGTTAAAAGGAAGCCCATTTCATATATACATTGTTTCCCAAGCTGATGATGTAAACTCCCTAAGAATCAAATTAGGGAAAACCTATTCTGTTTGAAGTGAATCTTTTCTCATAGACTTCCCTGTAAGATTCTTGGTCATATTATTATTATTTGTGTTTGTACCATCTCTAAGTTCTGTTTGATTGTATTTTTGTTTTCCTTTTTTTGTTGATTTTTCAAAACAAAACAATGAAAAGTTCAGAAACACCCACTTGTGAAAATTGTTTTTGTACATATGAAAACAAGTTTTTGGTGGGTGATTTTCAGAAAATTTCAAGAAAAAAGCAGTTTCCAGAAACAAATTTCCAAACAAAATTATGTTCTTTTTAAAAAATGAAAACAGAACACAAAGCAACATGCCTTTTTTTTTTAAAAAGTTACATTTCCCATTTCCAATCTCCCAAATGGGTCAGTGAATTGAACTTGAAAGGCATCATTGTAAAGCTTTTCCTGAGAAAAAGAAAAAAAGAAAAATAAAATTCAACTCAACTTGAGAAAATCTTATATCTTGATTTTCATATTAGATTTATTTGAACTTGAGAAGGTAAAGTTTTTCAAGTGATATCAAAAGCACAATTGTGATAAGAGTGATGTTTCGTGTAGACTAGGCCCGAAAGAGAAACTGTTGGATTGAGACAATTCAAATGTGTGTTTTTCCAAGTACTATGAATTCTATGTGCCTAAGCCAGGACACGACCAGTTATGAATAATTCAATTTCCTTAATTCGAGTAATTTTCCTCATAATCTGCTTGTGCAACAAGAACAGAATCTGCCGGTGCAACATAACATTCCATCATTCATTCCAAAATTCCATCAGAATCAGCCTGTGCAACATAACATTCCATAACATTCCATCATTCATCATCACAGAATCTGCTGGTTATCATGTATTATAGTTACATAACATAACATTTCATCATTCATTCCAACATTCCAAAATTCCATCATTCATTCCATAACAAATAAGAAGTTTAATGTTCCCCAAAATTCATTCCATAACAGATAATAGATAACAAGTCGGAGTACATAAAATCCAAAAAGATACAAACTTCCATTAAGTTCCCCAAAAATACAATAAAGTCAAAAAGTTACATCATAAAGTACAAAATGATACAAAATACACTGAAGTACACCATCTTTTTCATATTATTTTCCATCGTTTGCAGCCTTCGACCATAGTCATTTTCCATGTCATGAAGCCTCATCCTTACATCGTTCAAGTCTTCTATTGTTATACCAGCAGCAGCTGTACTGTTGGAACGGATTCTGGATGTAACGTCTTCATCATCTTCAGACACGAACTTGAAGTAATTGCAATGATGAGTGGGAGGGTTACTCTGCAATGCATGCGAATACATTAGTTCAATAAGACAAATATTAATGTGTGTAATAAAGGAAAAAAATAGCTAGAATTACCAACTTACATATTTCGATGGGCAAACAAAGTACAAACGCCCTTCATTTCCGTTCTCGTTGGTTCTTACAATATGTATAGCAGCTGTTCTTCCACAATTGCACAGCCTCGGTACCAATCTCATGTCGCTAATGTTAGAAGAAGAAGCCATTTTTTAAATCTGCATACATGAGGAGAAGGCTAATGAGAGTTGGTGCTAATGGAAGTTGGTGCTAATGGAAGTTGGTTCTAATAATATGTCCCATAGGAATAACTTGAAGACATTGTTACAGATGCAAACTAGTTCTGATGTTAACAAATGCAAACATGGTTATTAACAGATGCAATTGTCTAGAAGACAACTTTGTTAATATTTGCTTCCTTTTATTTTATGCTAGAAGACAACTTTGTTAATATTTGCTTCCTTTTATTTTATGCTAGAAGACAACTTTGTTAATATTTGCTTCCTTTTATTTTATGCTAGAAGACAACTTTGTTAATATTTGCTTCCTTTTATTTTATGCTAGAAGACAACTTTGTTAATATTTGCTTCCTTTTATTTTATGCTAGAAGACAACTTTGTTAATATTTGCTTCCTTTTATTTTATGCTAGAAGACAACTTTGTTAATATTTGCTTCCTTTTATTTTATGCTAGAAGACAACTTTGTTAATATTTGCTTCCTTTTATTTTATGCTAGAAGACAACTTTGTTAATATTTGCTTCCTTTTATTTTATGCTAGAAGACAACTTTGTTAATATTTGCTTCCTTTTATTTTATGCTAGAAGACAACTTTGTTAATATTTGCTTCCTTTTATTTTATGCTAGAAGACAACTTTGTTAATATTTGCTTCCTTTTATTTTATGCTAGAAGACAACTTTGTTAATATTTGCTTCCTTTTATTTTATGCTAGAAGACAACTTTGTTAATATTTGCTTCCTTTTATTTTATGCTAGAAGACAACTTTGTTAATATTTGCTTCCTTTTATTTTATGCTAGAAGACAACTTTGTTAATATTTGCTTCCTTTTATTTTATGCTAGAAGACAACTTTGTTAATATTTGCTTCCTTTTATTTTATGCTAGAAGACAACTTTGTTAATATTTGCTTCCTTTTATTTTATGCTAGAAGACAACTTTGTTAATATTTGCTTCCTTTTATTTTATGCTAGAAGACAACTTTGTTAATATTTGCTTCCTTTTATTTTATGCTAGAAGACAACTTTGTTAATATTTGCTTCCTTTTATTTTATGCTAGAAGACAACTTTGTTAATATTTTATGCTAGAAGACAACTTTGATAATATCTAAATTAAGTCTATCTCCTTTCTACACCAATTGGCCCCCAATTCCCTGCCACAATATTTTACAAGGTGGTTGTCCAGAATCTTTTTTCAGTCAATCTTTCATAATCCGGCAACCAAACAATTAGGAAACCATGCCCAGTTGTTACCCATCTAGCAACCCGGGAAGCATCCTCTATCTTATGGAACTCCAATCCTAAAAGCTTCACTAGCCCTAATGCCGCCACAATCCTAAAAGCTTCTTGTATATCTGCATTCTGCACCATTTGTGAACAAAACTATCAGTGGGCACTCCATGAACTGCTTCTTGTATATCTGCTCCATTTTTTAACAAAACTATGTATCTTTGTATTTCCCCATTCTCGTTGATATGCAGTTTGTAACCCTTTTATAAATTCTCTCTAATTTAATAATGATGCACGAGTGATGCAGTACGCAGTAGAAGAAAGAGAGGGAAATACTGGAAGAAGAGGGCCACAAGCCTTAACACAAGGCCACAACCTAGAACACTCTCAATTCATTAATTCCAAGCTAAGATTACTATGCAAATACCAAATATTTATAGGCTAGAGAACCTAATCAAAATAGGAAACTAAATCATAATCTAGACTCCTAATAAAATTCAATCAAGTTGGGAAACTAAATCCTAAAATAAAAGGAAGCAAATATAGTATACTCCATCAGATTGTATGGGTCAGAAAATTCTCTACATCACAAAAGAAACAGCAAATCGCATTAGTCCTACACAGTAATTGCAAGGAAAGACCTTTAAATTCAAACTCAGAACAACTAAATTTTCAACAACAACAAAGAATCAGATTCATATTTCAGCACTGTGGGTTGGTTACATTCATATTACATAACATCAGAACTGTGGGTTCATCTTTACCCTCATCATCTCCAAAAAATATTACCAAATCATCCTCAAATTGAAAAAAAATTCAGACGTTAAAAGCCCTAAATGTTTAGCCGTTCGAATAGAAATTCGAATCCCTAATTCCTAATTCTGAAATCCCTACTTCTGAAATTCCTAATTTTTCTAAAAGCCCTAATCCCTAATTTTTCAAAAACCAAAATTCCTAATTTTTCAAAACCCAAATCCCTAATTTTTTTAAAAAGCCCTAATTTTGAAATTATAAAATCCCTAATTCTGAAAATATGGAACGAGCAGATGAGGGATTCCCTTTCACTCTAACTTGTCCATATCAATTCCAAACCCAAATCTCAATCTCAATCTCAGATGTCGGAAGACAAAAGATCTTTGTTCGAAGACCAACCTGGTTCGTGAAGAAGAGATCTTTGCTCAACCGATGGTGAGTTCACGAAGCGTAGAGCTGGAGCGGTGGAGTTTGCCGTCGGCTCAACGACATTCTGCTCAACCAACATTCCAGTCACTACTACAACGTTCATGTGGATATGACATTGGGTTTCGATATTCTCAAGAATCAACTACTCCAATGTGTAGTCAGGTTCGTCGTTGATGTATTTTTAGTTTATAGTTGCTGAAAATTCTGTGATATCATGTATTTATAGTTGCTTAAAAATTCTTTCTTTTTTTTTTGTAGGCTATGGACAACCATGAACAGAACCAAACTAATGCTGAAATTGGGCTGCAACGTGAAGTCATGGCCTCTGAAATTGTGAAGCAAACTGCTGCTGGAAAGTGATGTTAAAGTACTAATGTGTCAATTTTTAAGGACCAATGAATTAATTTAGATGTTAAGTTGTACTGGTTGATGTTCATTTACAGTTGATTTTCATTTATATGTTAAACCCAAGTGAACTGGTTATTGTTAATGTTCATTTAAATTGGTGTCCATGTTGGTTGGTTGAGAAGGTACAGATTCAGGAAACTGGTTTTATTTTTAAACATAGAATTCCACTTACAAGGATGCTTGCTGGGAATTCTATATTGTGCATTAATTGAAGGATGCTTGCAGTTTTAGACTAATATTTGTTGTATGTTTGATATGCAATTTGTGTAATGAGAATTGAACTGGAATTGTATATTGGAATGTGCTACTCTTGATAATGTGATTATGATCACACAAGGAAGCCAAATGTTGTTTATCCCATTTGGTAAGGAAATGTTTCAGTTTTGTACGCATCGGACTATCTTGTATCCCTATTGGCATGCATGGTTATTGGAAAAATGTGGCCTTATTTGATACTTGAGAGCCTCGTCATTGCTTTCAACCTGAATAAGTTCATGTATTGGATGGTGACAATGCTAGTATATATTACTTTTAGCCTTTTAGTTATTAATTTGAATTATGATTGTGGCTTACACATCTTGGCAAAGAGATGCTCAGCCTTTACCTTGACAATTGGCATTGGAATTTGAATATGAAGTCCCAGGCATGATGATGCGTCGATAGAAATTCATCACCACGGCCCCTAAGGTTGTCATAATCTGTTGAGTTTCAGAAAGACTTTGTTGAGGCTCATATTGGTCTCTTTCTGTGTTTATCCAGTAGCTGAAGTAAACCTAGGGTATCAATCATGTGAAAATCATTATTGTTTTTGTATATGTTCTACATGGAATGCACAATGTTAAGTGAAATCTCAGAATATGGAAGTTTGAAATTATTTACCATTATGTTTAATGCACTTGCTAAAGTTTACGTCATGGGCTTTTCTTGCTATGTTGGGTTAGTTTATTTAGCCTCTTTTTTTTCCCCCTTGAGAAATTTTGTTGCTATTTTATAAGGATGCTTGCTGGGAATTCTATGTTTAATCAACCCTAGTTGTAAGTGGAACTTTATTTTTAAACATAGAAGCTTAAGCAGTTCCAGGACCCTTGAACACTGTAGATTCTGGTTTTATTTTTAACCCTGTTATGCAGATTCTGTTTTCAACACTATATGCTGGTTCTGGTATGCTGGTTTCAAACTGAGAAGTTATACTCAAGCTCACAACATGCATTCTGTTGAAAATTCATTCTGCTGGTTCATCTAGTAAATGCATTCTGTTGGTATGCATTCTGTTGGAATTCATTAGCAAATGCATTATGTTCAATTCATATCTGCTTCATTCTGCTGGTTCATATCTGGTAAATGAATTCTGCTGGTATGCATTTGGACAATAAATGAATTCTGCTGGTATTCATATCTGCTGAATTCTACCCATTAACTCCACTAGGACAATAAATGCATAAAAACATTCATAAAAACATCCCAAATTCTGCTGGTATGCATTAGTAAATGAATTCTGCTGGTATGCACTAGTAAATGAATTCTACCCATTCTGCTGGTATGCATTTGGACAATAAATGAATTCTACCCATTCCCAACTTCCCTGAATTCTACCCATTAACTCCACTAGGACAATAAATGCATAAAAACATTCATAAAAACATCCCAAATTCTGCTGGTATGCATTAGTAAATGAATTCTGCTGGTATGCACTAGTAAATGAATTCTACCCATTCCCAACTTCCCAAATTCCATTCATAAAAACATCATAAAGTACAAACATCATAAATCCATAATAACATTAGTCAAATTTTTCGGATACTAACATTACATCATAAAGTACAAAAGTAAACCAAATACAATCAAATACACCATCGCCTTCAAAATATTTTCCACCCATCGAAGCCTTCGACCATAGCGCCATGTTCATTTTCCACGTCATACAGCCTCCTCCTCAGCTCGTTAAAGTCTTCTACTGTAACACCATCAGAAGCTCTAGTGTTGGAACGGATTGTGGAAGTCACATCTTCGTCATCTTCAGCCACGAACTTGAAGTAATTGCAATTGGGATTTTCAGTCTACAATGCAACCAACAATTAGTTAGTCTATTAAAACAAATTAAATTGTGACTACTTACATATTTAATATTTCCAATACAATACTTACATATTTTGATGGGCAAACAAAGAACAAACGCCCTTTATTTCCATTCTCATTAGTTTTTACGATATGTATGGCAGCTGTTCTTCCACAATTGCACATTCTCGGTTTTAATCTTATGTTGCTGTTGTCATTAGAAGAAGAAGCCATTTCTAAATCTACATAGACAATACAACACAAACAGTCAGCCCTCGAGAAACCAATTTAGTTTTGAAACCAACATTGTAGTGGGCTCATAAAAACCTATTCTATCTGTTATTCAGCATTGTAGAACAGAGCATATACACATGTAAAATCGGATTGGACAAACACACAAGAACAGGCCATTTTTTCATTCAGGAAACTTTTGTAAATGAATTGGGCCTTTGTCAAAATGTTTTAACTTTTGATCTTTTAACAGATATATTTATTATTTAGTTGCTAATTTATTGAAATAAGAGAATGTCCAGAACAAAGATGAGGCTTCTGTTTAGACAGATAAATATACAAACAATCATACATGGAAGAAACAGAGAATAAAAGCAGCAAACAAAAAATGAACATAAACCTGGGAAAAAACAACATTAGTAAAAACAGAAACAAGACAATTGTGAATGAAATTCTAGTCTATTATATAACTAATTAAAAAAAAAAGTTATAGGGGAAAAAATAATTGTAAATTAATGAGAAACTTTCTAAATATTAACAATTAAATTTAAAAACTTTCCCATGAATTTGTACTTTCTTTGTTTGGTTATGGAAAGCAATAAACTATAACAACCCATTCTAACAATACTGGGAACAATTTTAATTGTATGTTGTTGCTCTACCAGCAACCTTACCCGTACCCGTTGAGGGTCCAATCTGTGGTAGTATCCTGTGCCAGCTCTATCTGCAAAACGTTCGATCAATTAAAGCCAAAAAGATCAGAGCTTACATGTGAATGCCACAACTCAAGCTCTCTGTTTACTTTATATACTGTATATTTGTGAACCATAGCAGACATAACACATAATTTTATCAAACAGAATCTATTCCTAACAAAAAAATAATAATTGACATCTTAAATAATTGTCAACAATGGGGTACCTCTTATGATGAAACTACTGTGCCAAGTGCAACTTGGCAATGACACTAAACAAAGATGAAATATTTATTGAGAATTCTCTACGAGAAATGATGTGTAATAAATAAATGTATGAATCTGTCTGGTTGTCTCTGTTATTTCTATCTGGTGCCTAGAGGGCTACAATGGACAGAAATTATAGGGCTTACTTCTGTCATAATTAAGGAAACAGAGAAATTGAGAGATAAGATTATAAATATGTTTGCCTAAAAATCTGAGGAGGGAAGTATCGACAAAGGAAACAAACACACAAGAACAGACCATTTTTTCATTCAGGAAACTTTTGATTGTTCAAGTATATACACATGTAAAATCGGATTGGACCACACACATGTATTACGTTTGAAGTAATTGTGCCCAATGCAATTTCATGTGGTTCTTTTTTCTTTCTTTTTTTTCAGTGAAAATCACCTTAGGTCAAATAAAGGTTTGGACATGGACAGATGTTCTTTACTTCTATAGATCATTTATCAAGAACAGAGCATACAAAATTACAAAAAAACAAAAAAGCCCTAAATTTTTTCAGAAATTCCAACTCTAAAAGCCCTAAATTTTTTCAGAAAAGCCCTAAATTTTTTCAGAAATTCCAAATCTGAAAAGCCCTAAATTTTTTCAGAAATTCCAAATCTGAAAAGCCCTAAATTTTTTCAGAAATTCCAAATCTGAAAAGCCCTAAATTTTTTCAGAAATTCCAAATCTGAAAAGCCCTAAATTTTTTCAGAAATTCCAAATCTGAAAAGCCCTAAATTTTTTCAGAAATTCCAAATCTGAAAAGCCCTAAATTTTTTCAGAAATTCCAAATCTGAAAAGCCCTAAATTTTTTCAGAAATTCCAAATCTGAAAAGCCCTAAATTTTTTCAGAAATTCCAAATCTGAAAAGCCCTAAATTTTTTCAGAAATTCCAAATCTGAAAAGCCCTAAATTTTTTCAGAAATTCCAAATCTGAAAAGCCCTAAATTTTTTCAGAAATTCCAAATCTGAAAAGCCCTAAATTTTTTCAGAAATTCCAAATCTGAAAAGCCCTAAATTTTTTCAGAAATTCCAAATCTGAAAAGCCCTAAATTTTTTCAGAAATTCCAAATCTGAAAAGCCCTAAATTTTTTCAGAAATTCCAAATCTGAAAAGCCCTAAATTTTTTCAGAAATTCCAAATCTGAAAAGCCCTAAATTTTTTCAGAAATTCCAAATCTGAAAAGCCCTAAATTTTTTCAGAAATTCCAAATCTGAAAAGCCCTAAATTTTTTCAGAAATTCCAAATCTGAAAAGCCCTAAATTTTTTCAGAAATTCCAAATCTGAAAAGCCCTAAATTTTTTCAGAAATTCCAAATCTGAAAAGCCCTAAATTTTTTCAGAAATTCCAAATCTGAAAAGCCCTAAATTTTTTCAGAAATTCCAAATCTGAAAAGCCCTAAATTTTTTCAGAAATTCCAAATCTGAAAAGCCCTAAATTTTTTCAGAAATTCCAAATCTGAAAAGCCCTAAATTTTTTCAGAAATTCCAACTCTAAAAGCCCTACATTTTTTCAGACTCCTAACTTCTTAATTTCAGATGTTTGAAGACCAACCTGGTTCGTGATCTAAGCTCAACTGATGGTGGTCGTCGCGGTGGAGTTCACGAAGCGTAGAGGCTGAAGCGGTGGAGCTGTGGTCGTCGTGGGGTCGCCGTTGGGACTGGTCGCCGGTTCGCCGGTGAGGGTAGGTTCGGTGGACGACCACGATCGACTGTAAGGCTGAGTGAAAGTGAGAGAGTAAGAGAGTGAGAGTGAATATGTCTCAGGTGTATTGTTGTTTTTGTTTGGGCGGGAAGACGAAAACAGAACATTTTTGATTTTTTTTTTTTTTTTTTATATA